TTCTTACCTTTTCTTTTTGGGAGCCTTCCCGGGGTAAAAGGGTGGAGTTCCTTCGGGTTTTTAGGGGGCCCCCGCGCCTTACGCCCGGGAGCCAAAACCCCCCAATAGCAAGGGGTTTCCCCAGCACCCTCCCCCCCCCCCCCTTTTCAAAGGCCTTTTTCCCCTTTTTGTTTGGCCCCCCCCCCCCCCCCCCCCACCTTCACCGCTCCCACATTTCCCTCGTCTTCTCCCTCGGTCTTTCTCCAGCTCCGAGATGTGCGGAGAGAGCTGCAAGATGCTCTACACGAGCGCGACGTAGCCGTTGCTAAATGCGGTAGGGTTGACGACCTGGAGGAAACGGTCAGCGAGCTAAGGCGGCACAACAAGGAGCTCGAGGATCAGGTGACCAGACCAGCGTACACGTTCTCCGCATGACCGTTTAAGGCGGTGGGTAGCAGAAGAAGTGCAAGCAGCGTGCTTGGTTCGTGTGTTGAAGGACACAGCGACAATCAGAGGGGACCTAAGTTCAGTTTCCCGTCGGTAAAGCTAGACATTTTCCCGTGCAGAGAACGCCGTCAAAAGAGTGTTGGTGGCGATGGGTACTTTGGCAAAGCCAGGAGCCCAAACCTTGCTTGATATGTCCCGGTAAATGAAACCACTCCACAGCAACGAATCTGGCAGGGAGTAGAAGTTCTGCTTCGCTTTCCCACGATGGACGAGTTTTATATAGATTTCATACCCTAAGACATTAACACTCCAAATCTAGATATATCGCAGCTGTTGGTTGTGCACCGGGAAAAAATGACCGCAAGCTTCAGGCGAATAGAGATCGCACCAAGCTGGCTCGGTGGTAACCTATGCAGTACAGTATTCTAGGAGATGCATCCCCCCGACCAAGCTATAATCAGCACGCACGTGTACCAAGGCTGTGAACGATACCAACTTCGATTATCATGGAACTGGTACGAATAAGGCTATCATGCCCTAGATACTGCGGTGTGGAGATAATATCTTCTTTTGCGGAGAATGCTTGGCACTGCACGTACACTATGCAGCTAAACCAAGGTTTTGTGCTCAATGACACCCTTGTGTTGCAGGTGACGAGGCTATGCGAGAACCCTTTCATCTCCCAGGCTTTCCGCGACCAGGAGCGATCGGAGCGCGTGCTGGAGCTGGAGCAGGGGAGCCGAGCGGCCCAGCTCAAGATCGATCACCTGCAGGTTGGCTGCAGACATGGAAGATGAAACTTTGCAAGAGAGAAACACGAATAGTACCCCCTCCCATACTACTATCATACCATACCTGAACATATTCACTGACACTTCTTGGGGCTGAGAAATACAAACCAAGGTAGAGTGAAGATGCCAAAATAAACCTAGTTGGATCCCTCACAAGTTAGATTCGCTCCATATCACGCCCTGTGGCTAGAAGTGCATGCTCGCCCACCCAACAACAACTTTCACGGATTTGGTCGCACTCTTGCTAAACCTGCGATTTGTTCAGTACATAACCTTTATCACTCAAGTTTCATGGTGACCCAGGAAAAGAGCTCTTCACATATTGAGGCAAGACGATAGGATCGATTGAGCCTGCGAGCGACGGCAACCCAAGGGAATGACGAAATAACAACCATATCCGCTATTTCCTCAAACCATCTAACTGCCGTGTTTTCGGCAAGTGATCTTCGAAGCAGGGGCAGCCGGTGATATCATCGGTACGTGACAAGCGTTGCAGAAGTTATTTAGCGATTTTTGTCGGGTACGTGCTTGCATCCGTGCAACTACTTCAATGTTTCACCAGTATCTCTTAGTGACAAGTAGCGCTCCGAACCTTCAGCCTCTGTACGTTCCCCCCCTTCCACGTCATACTTCATTGTTGTCGATGCATCAGGAGGCAGTAGACCAGTAACTCTAGACCAAAGAGTAAAGCTCGGAACCTCTGTTCGCTTTCCCCCTCCCGCGTTGTCCTTGACTATTTCGACTTCAGGAGACGGCCCAGACGCACCACGCGGCACTGGTCACGCTTAAGAAGCAGACGGTGCGGCTGCGGGAGGACAAGGAGAGGGCAGAAAGAGCCCTTCAGGAGATGCGGGTCAGGCACAACGAGACAGAGGCCGGTGCCCAGGTGTGTGCGAGAGATATGCAAAGATCGGGGCGGGATGATGAGAGTGAAGTGGAGAGAATGGGTTCGAAGCGATCGCAGACTAGGAGAACGGAACGCTGCTGCTAATGGCGAGACAGACGGAGATAGAGGGGGGAGAGACAGGCCGGGGAAGAGGGAATGATTCTTCCCCGTAAACATTTGGGGAATCGCGTCATAAGTGAAGGGTGCAAGTGTCCCTCACATGCGTGCAAGGACGATTTTTGAGAGTCACCAAGTAATGGTTTCTGTTTCGCAGGTGCGGCCCGAACCCGATGCTCCCGTTGCATTCCTTCATCTAGATGTTGTCACCCTACTCATTTTTCCACCTATTCACTTCTTCCATTGAAGGTAACAGGCTACCGCCAAACCCTTCCCCACTCGCGCAACACAACGGTTTCCTCCCAACACCAAGAGGGGAATCCGTGCCGGCAACGCCATTAGGTGGAAAGAAAAGAAGGATATTTTTGCGGAAAGTCTCTCATATCTTGTTATTTTTCTTCATTGTTTCAGCTTATGGCCGACAAGATGAGGCTCTACGCCGGGGACGAGGACATAGACCTGGAGGAGCTGGAGCGTGCTCTGACCATCGTCAGGAGGAAGATGGCGGATCCCGCGGCCTTCCCGGGCTTCCTCGAAAACCCTGAGGTTATATGTCCTTGCTTGTTGATCCCTTTCTTGTCCTTTGGTTCGTCAGCGTCGAGTCTGCGTGCCTGCCAGGCTGGTTCGTTGAATTGTTGTGCTGGTGGTTGTTGAAGGGGGGGCCCGATCCGCGGAAATGCATGAGCGGGAACACCCTTGAGACCTGTTCGCCACCCTTGCTTCCGGGTAGATCACGTTTCTCAGCTCTAGTCGCCTCTTCTTGTCGCTCGACGAGAGCGGAAGGTGGGGCAGCATCTTCAGATATCCTGATGGCTAGCTGGCTGGATTGTTAAGCGCCGCCTCGAACCAACCCGTACATGATCCCCAGAGTATGAGCGTAGCCCTTTCCGATTCTAGATACGTGTGGCAACTTTTGTTCACTCGTTTTCAATCTTGAAAAGTTATATTGGTGTGCTCTGAAGGGTCTAGATTCCGTCGGTATTATTACCGCAAAGGTATTCACGTCGCGATTCTCGCTGCATTCCGCTGTCCTCGCCTGGACGCCGCTAGCGTATTACGATGGATCGGCGGCCGGCGACAGCAATTTCACGGCACGGACGAATCTCGGTGTTCAAAACCTTGCATCGGTTCAAAACCTTGCGTCCATTTCTTTGCGGCAGTCTGGGGAAAACGGGTGACGAGAATATGTTTCGGGTAGACGAATGCAAATGCGTGCGTGCGCGCGTCAAGCAATATAGAAGTCAATTCTCTCGCCACTACTTTCCCGCCTTCCATCTTCCAGGAGGAAGACATGGACAACGTCCCCGCCCTTCGGCGTAAGCTGCAACGCGTGCAGGTGTCCAACCTCAACCTCACGAGAGAGCTTGAGCGCGCAGAGCGCATGCTCAAGGCCCAGGTAAGACTTCGTGCGCTGTGAATGAGTGCGACTACCGTACCATTCTGCCCGAGATTTTTTTGGGTGCGCAACCCATCTGTGTGAATAAACGAGCTGCGCCCGCGAATGCTTCCGTTTTTTTATCTGGAGCTTGATGCGCAGAGAGGGGTGCTTTTCACGTGATCAGTACTTACTGAACAAGCCTGTAGCCCTTACTGATGATCGCGACATTTTCGCGGCATGTTTCAACAAAAGCAACATGTTAGCTTACACAAAACAATGGCATCACAAACGGGTGAACGGGGTTGGATGGCGTGATCGTCCCACACATGGCAAGTCACACTATGCGACACTATTCCGCATGCGAATCCACAGCATCTATCTCACTTGTACACATGTATGACTGATCCCAGGTACAGATTACTCCCCCTTCAAGATCCGGTTCAACTGCCACGTGCTCACGGCAGCTCACCCTTCACCCGACCTTCTCTCCTCGTGCTCTTTGACGCCTCTCTGACGGCTGGCACGTCGATCCTCAGCACGAGTAACGATCACGATTGGGCTCGTACCCAACTGGCGTGCCGTTTGGCCTCTCTGACCCGTACCCAATGTGCATCCCTCTCGCGACCTCGCTGGTCATCGAGCCCCCAACAGATGAGCATCAACCGTGACTTGCACGTAGAGCTCGAGGAGGCATGTCGGAGGTCTACCCTGGACCGGGGAGAGCTAGGCCAGAAGCTGCGGGACTTCGAGGCCCTCGCCCTCGAGCGGCTGGCCGTGATTAACCGGCTGGAGGCCCAGGTGAAAACCGTCGCCTTTTCGAAGGGTATGGTATGGAATTGTATATTGAGGCTTCCTGTAGCATTTCGTTGGGTTTGGTATGAAATTCTTGCATTTTGCGCCAAGTAGTTTCGGGTTGCCGAGACAGTCTTTGACTGCTGAAAGTGGCGCCAAAGAATTGGGGTCATGATCATGGTTCTCCTGAGCAGAGCACTACACGTCAGGTCGCCGTGAGGAGTATCTGTCCGTCTTCCCTTATCACCAACGACGTTTATCTCGGAGTGGAGGGGGGCTACCCGTTTGCATGCCAACCCGCGCCTGCTGTGCAATCGAAGAAGCTCTTGCGGTTGTTCTTCTCGACGTCACACAAGAACTGTTGGAGCCGGCAGCAACACGACCCATCTTTGGCGCGATGTCCGTCTGGACGGCATGAACTATTTGACGATTCAGGGTATCATACCTGGCTATATTCCGACGCGCAGGTGAAGCAACTCCTGTACGGGCCGGCGAGGAGGAAGCGTCTGGGAGCCGCCGGCGACGCCTCGGCGGCCCAGATGGAGCAGGAGCAGGAGAGCGCGCTGCTCAGCGAGTTGGCCGAGGGTGACTTCTCCGCCGACCAAAACATCGTCGAGGTCTGTGCTTGTCGCATGTTGGCGTTCAAAAGAAAATCAGTGTATTTGTAGAAAGTCTGTATCGTGGCCGTATTTAGCTTGTGTTTTTGTTGTGTGATGTGTGCTGAAGTATGTCCTGAATACGTTGCCGTAAGGTACAGGAGCTCTCTTGATGTGTTGGTTGGTGTGGTGAGCTGGGCTCTTCGTGACGTTGCCGGGCATGTGACAAGGGAGAGCGAAGGCGCCGATGCCACTTTCGTTCTCAGTAGCACTACTCACCACCGAAATACCAACAGCGAGAGTGAGGAAATAACAGGCCGAGGGCGAACCTCACACCACTCGTCGTAGGCGTTTTCGAGGTTTACTCGGTGTGAGTGTGACTTTGTTCGTTATCGCATGACTGGGAAATCAGGTTTGGGTGGTCGGTGCCGAGCTGGAGCCCGGGGTGCTTTCGGCCGGATCGTCGAGCTTCATCGTCGTGGACTTCTTTGACTTCGAGAGCCAGGCGACCCCTCTGCTGCCCGGGGTGTCGCCGGCCTTTGACTTCGCGACGACATTCAAGGTTTGTTGCATGGACGAAGGGCCAGAAAGAAAACACATAAATCACGCTTTGAGTCCAGCTGTTTCAGGCACTGGAGTTCTCGAGCATGGCCTGTTACGGCCTGTAGTGCCACCAGGAAGCCTTTATCGTGCAAACCTATTGGAGCGAGAACACCTGCAATCTCCGTTAGATGGCGGAAATCTGTTTTCCGGGAGTTTGTAGGTCAAACAAAGAAAGGGCGAGAAACGTTTGTGCCACAGCCACTCTCGTTCAGCACTGAAGCAGTCACGAACCGCTGTTGGTGTTCATACTTCGGAATTACAGCAGCCATCGCGGAATGCGCGTCGTCGGGCGACGCAAATCGCATACATTCTACACGGCGCATTTCCAAACGTAGACGCCATGCTTTGAAAACCGCAGATACATAGATGTACGGCGAACTTACAAGCGACGTTCTTGTTTCACGCAATCAGGTCACCGTGGACGACTTCTTCTTGCGCTTCCTTGGCACCGAGGGCCTCGTGCTCGAGCTCAACCAGGCTAGGGCCGCGGATTTCGAGCTGGTCGGACGAAGGCAGGTGGCGCTGTCCGGCCTCCTGTCGTCGAAGCCGAGGATCATCCTGCAGAGGGAGCCGCTCATCTCCACGCGGGACGGGGCGGTCGTGGGCTACGTGCACATCGAGGTTAGTTGTGCACCTGGTTTGCTGCTGCGTTGGGCGTTGGTGGTGGTGGTGGTGGTGGTGATCGTGGGGTTATGTCTTCGCTACTTGCGGTGTTTTTTTTTGTTGTCGACGCTGTCGTGAGTAGTTGAAGTAGCGATTGAGGCAACTGGTGTGGCGTTGGCGCCGTGGATGTCGTTGTCAATGCCAAGAAGGTACAAAATTGTGAAACCGGATGTGTTGGGTTGAATGCCTCTTCGGGTACCTGGTTACCTGAAACACTTTCACCCGTACCAGCAAAGACCACGAACAGCTCAACCAACACACGTCCGAACTGCGGGTGGCTGATCACGGTACAATGGCACCTAGTCAAAGCATTGCTTTGGTCTCTGTAAACACCTCCCGTCGCTTGCTTGCTGATCTATCCGAGTTTGCCCGCCGTTCGAGTGATTGTCAGCTCTCATCCACCATGAGAGACTCAAACGTACACTGCACTTCTCGAGCTTCACAGTTCCGCGCCCTATTCGCCTCCCTTTTTCTGAATCATTCTCTACCAATGGCCTCACGATACGACACAGAGAGACCGTCTGGCAGCCGTTGCGCTACATCAAGGACCAAGCTGACCCATCCGCCTTGTCTTCAACACGAGAAACGAGCCCTGTGCGACATCGACCGCACGGCATGCTGAACAACTCTCCTGTTGCCATCTTTGCCGACAACGATCGCGGCTCTGCTCGTTGACTCTCGTCAAAACTTGACACACGGTACCACTTTATTTCCGCCAAACGGTTGAACGCCAGACCCAAGCTTATAACTCCCTCCGCGCACACCTATCCTGTATCATTTTGACAGATCCGGATGGCTCTGCCAGTGACGGAGCTGTACGCTCTCTTCCTGGAGCGAAGGCCGGAGGAGAAGGAGAGGGTAGAACAAGCCAGGCTGCTGGAGGCCAAGGTAAACGTGGCAGCGACCAAAATAGGGAAGAACGTGGAGCACCAGCCCCGAGAGGAACTCGATGTGTAACTGACTGTCAAATCAACATGGGGCACTGAATAACAGCAAGCAACACGACCAAGCGCGCTGACAGACGCTCGATAAGCTGGAAGAAAACGAAAACAAAAAACTCAAGGGAGAAATTCGGCACGGAGAAGTGGGACAGCGGTAATTTTCGCCCAACAACACAGTAAGCATGGAAGCGCACGACGACGGGGCGCAAATAACCTCGTTATTGTCCACGCCTCGAGATGTTTCTGTTTTTACGAGGCTTCCCTACCATGTTCGAGCCACAGCGAAACGCTTGTTATGGGCCCTGGTGGCAACTTGCAGGCCAGAACACCCGGCTACCCGCCCCACACCTGACCCCAACGAAGCACTGTCTCTCCTGTATTTCCGTTTCGGTTGAAGCCTGTGATGAACCTAGCCTCGTTCAGCTGCACCTGCTTTGCTGTTGCTATTACGTCCGCCTATCGTTTGGACGTATCCTCCATTGCTTCTGCAAACTCGTGATCGCACAAACGTTGGGGTATCCTTCTATCGCACAGGCGAACGGATATCTAACGCCAGCAGACGCCGCTGCCGCCACCGCTCGCAACGGAGCGATGAGTAACACACTCCACGGAGGCCTCGGCCTTGCGGGGGACACGACGCGCCTGCGCAACGAGTTGGAAGTGGTCATCATTGGATGTCGGGACCTCCCGTCGAGGGGACATGCGGGCAAGGACAGTGCTGCACCGGCAGCCTACGTTCACTACCAGGTGACAAATTCCGAAACCTCGACAAGCTGAGAAATGGCCGTGTGGATGAGACAAGTACCTATAGCATGAGGGGGTCGCGCCCACTCACAACGGAGGCCGCTTGGATAATACGTGGCCTAGGGGAACGATGAAATAGAAATTTCGACGATGGGTCCATTTGTCGTCGCTCTTTGCCTCACGTATGCTTCTTGCTTGGTCGTGAGAACCCGCCGTAGTACTTCTATTACCGTGCGCGGTTCCACCATCTAGTCCGGACGAAGGATGCCCACATAAAAAAACAAACGTTGGCTTCTGGTGGCCTCGACTCTAGACATAGTCTATTTTCGTAGGATGAAGTAACGTCAGAACAGTCTATGAGAAAGGCCATCCTAAACATCAACGACGATAAAGGAACAGCTACAATTGTACATTACCAGCGAACACAGCAGCAACCGTGTGTGTGCGTATGTGTTTTCGTATCACACCGCTACGTTCACTTGTCGTGATCACCCACTCTCTCTCTTGATCCCCTCCCTTCGCGCCATCTGATCAATTCCGACTTCAGCTCCTGGGGTTCCAAGATGTTTTTACCCCGGTGGTGCACGGTTTGCGCGACCCGAGTTTCCGGCACTCCACCTCCTTCCCCGTCGCCACCGATGACAAGCTGCTGCGTTTCCTTTCTCGGTAAGTTCGATAGCTACAGTAGGTATCCATGGCAGGCGTATTGAAAAAGAAAGAACACAACGAATGGACCGCGGCGGTGACGGAAATAATGGTCAACACGCGCCGACTTTGCTCAGGATTCCGGTCCACCAGGCGCAAACATTTGTCGCAGACCAAAGCGCGTTCGTGCAAAGTGCTTCACTCAAGGTGCCACAGACTGACCAATGGACCACAAGAAGTAAGACCGTCCAGAAAATACAGGGCGTACGCTATAGACTGCACCCTTTTCTCACAAAAACTCTTAGAACGAAACAAGGACGCGCGTTCAAATGTAAGACTACTTCATCCCTGTTTCGGATACTCCGCCTCCTCACCCGCCCCCGAAGCAGAGATTGTTCCTCCTTTGCTTTATACCTGCATTTCGCCATAAACCATCAACGAAAACAATGCAGGAAGGTGGGTTCAACATTGACTATATTTTTCGTCCGTACTGGTCGATAGTTCAAGGAACAGAAACGTGCGTACACCCGGCATGTACGGGACATGAAAGGGCTCACGACGCCCACTTGGCGGCTCCGGCCAACGCTACAGCCCAGGTGCATGTACCTGCGCAGTACTATTGCAGGGTTTGCCGCAAACCGATTTATTATCCTGCTTTGAAGAGTGTGATTTTTGGCTTCTCCTAAGCCACGACGTGTCCGACTGGCGTCTCGTCCTCCCTCTGATCCTGAAACTGCTGCTCACAGACACCGCCTGACCGTCACAGTGATGGACGACCTCGCCAACGCACCCGGAGATCTGGACGCCAATGAAGGGGGTGGTGATGCGTGGCCAGATGACGACGAATCGGAGGTAAGAAAAGTAGCAGAGGACGCGATCACCCAACACCAACCCAGCGTCAGCGCGCGCTGCGTCGGTTCCAACAACCATCCGTCTTGTTCATTTTTCATTGCGAGAGTATGACCACCAACCAGAGTCTAGAAATCAGTGTAATGGCATGGTGCGTGAAAAAAATGGCCGTCCGCCTCTACACAGTACACTACTTTTCCCACGTCGCCTAACACATCACACCACTGGGCGCATTCTGTCCCAACCTACAAATACATCCCAAAGGTCTACCTACCGAACAACCCCTGCAAAAATTCAGGAAAAATACTCCCTTGCTCCGCAGTCGAGAGAGTTGTGCGGTCAACGGCAAAATATCTACTGTACGGCAACTCACAATGTCGTTCTTCCTGCCTGACCCTTGAGCACAGGGCTTGATCGGAGAGGCTCTGGTCGACCTCTCCCCCATGGCGGAAGGGCGTCCGGTGGTTGCCGGCTGGACCACGGTCGAGGACGCCACGGGGAGGTCAGCAGGAAAGATCTGCGTCTCCGCGCGTTGGGTGAAGCCACTGCGGACGGGAGGTGATCCGGGCCCGCACGGCCTGTCGTCGGAGGAGGTGGAGGGGCTCATGGCGCGTTTCTCGCCAGAAAAGGACGGCCAGGCGCGTGCATCGGTCGTATCGCGTGTGCACGCACATTATCACATCTATCAGCATTTTCAGTTTTTTTTTTTTGTGCGTACAGCGGTATATAATGACTCGAACCGTTTCAATGGGAAGTCTTGAAGATACGTGCATCGTTTCGTTGGGGTACAATTGAGCCTTACGGTCTGCCGCGATCGTGTTTGTTTGTCTGGGTGTGCTAATGTTGGCCGTCGGGTCTTTCAGCCCTTCCAGGGAGGAAACCGGGGCTGGTTCGTGGTTGATGCTGTCGTAACCTGAGAACGGTGGCCGTGGAGTCATAAGAGTCAGCATCGGTTCTGTTGGTTGGATGCAAGTATTGCCGGTTGTTCTGTGAAGAAACAAACGTATTCAAATATTTTCCGACTTTGCAAAATATGCCCCACATGGTACTGACACTCTCGCCCGATCACTCCGACACCTTCATCTGCCTGCTTGCCTAAATTTCGCCAGGTGAACTATGTCGCCTTCCTGAAGGAGAGTGACCCCCCACCCGCCGTCCTGGCGGCACTGAGCCAGATACAGACCTTCCTCGCCGATGCCTCCGAGCGGGATGGTCTCTCCGCTACCGAGGCCCTTGGGGCTGTCCTGGGTGTACAAGGTGATTTTATTTTTCACGAGTCGGGATAGGTGTTCTGTGTTTATCATCACATTTTCTTATAGTGATTGTGGTAGTGGTGGTGGTAGCGGTGGCGTTGGCTTTCAGAACAATTCGCTGTACACACAGTTGTACCCACTTCCTACGTACGTTCATTCTCTGCCAAGGAGGTCCGTGGGATCGCGTTCGACGTCGTGTTTATGCGTGTGTGTGGGGGGGTGCGCCATGCCAGATAAAACACACATTGGAAACGCTCTTGGCCTGGAGCGAATCGGCAACAGAACGCACCCCTCGACAAACGTTTGCATTTCCTGTGGAGAAGCGGAGGGTGCGGTCCACCTTCTTCCCCTTTCGCTCCCGGTTTTTTCGAATCCTAGGGAAGGCAGACCTCCCCCCACGCTCGCCTGATCTTCTTTCTGTACTGTAGCTATAGCCACGCAGTCGTTCGCCCTTCCTACCCTACCTACCGTCTCGACCCTATGCGACGTGTCGTAACCCACAATGAACGCATGTGTTGCCGCTTTTGGGAATGTGCATCACACGGCCGGAATCTGGCGTTTTGCACGTCGAATCTCGTCCTGGCATCAAAAACAAAGGGTCTGACCCTAAAGCACAGCTGTCGGAGGAGGCCTTCGTGTCTGCCCTGCTGTCCTCGGCAAGCCTCACGGCGTCCCCCGATGAGCTCGCCGCAGCGTACGCGCACGCCGCTGGTGGCAGTGGCAGCGGTGGAGGCACTGGTTCTCATCACGGCCTTACCCTTGAGCATCTAGCTGCCTTTGCCTCATGCGGCGGCGGCGGGGGCGGCGGCGGTGGCGGTGGCGGTGGCACGGGCTCCGGCGGCGACTGGGTGAGCTGGATCGGCGCGGTGCGTCCGGGGGACGGCGGCGCAGCTGCCCGGCGGGCGCTCGTGAAAGCACGCGTGAAGTGCCGGGACGCCGGGCTGTTGGGGCGCTCCTTCCCCGGCGAGGTGTTCGCCAAGCTGGACCCCGAGGGCGCGGGGCGGGTAGGTCGCCCTGCCTTCAAGCGTGCGCTGCGGGAGATGGGGTTCGCCCTGGTGGACGAAGCTCCGGAGAGCAACAGCGAAGGGCTGTTGGGGGGCGATCAGCAGTGGCGCGCGCTTAAAGCGGAGCAAGAGGGGGGGCGGGGACGGGCAGCGGGCATGGGTCTTGGAAACATGCTGGAAGAGGCCGCCTCGGCAACGGCGACCCACGCCGACGAGGAGATCAGGCTGAGAAGGGCGGAGGGAGAAGAACGGGACGAGGCGAGGAGGCAAGCGTTCCGAGCAAAGGTCGAGGGCATCGAGAGAGCTACCGCAGAAAAGGTTAGTTATTCTACCGCTTGCTGCGGGAATGATATCATAACCCAGACCCCATAACTCGCACTGTGTACATGGAACCACACGCAAAGGGCAGATACTACAATACGTCCGGTTTCTTCCTGTCGATCCAGAACATCAGCCTCCAAGTTTACCAGGCCACGATGTCTCTCGCTTAGACCCTAACTTCCTCTGTCACAGCGTTTATTTTTCTCAATCATCCGATTCCTCACCCATCCCTCTCTGTTAATAAATGTGCGCATGGTCACGCGATACCTCCATTTCTTGCTAAGATTGACGCGGCCGAAGCTCTTTCTGGAGGCGGCGGTGTAGGTCCGAAAGGAGAGGGAGTCGAGCCCCGCATTGCCAACCTCGACAACGACAACGACAACCGCGACCGCGACGGCAGCGGAAACGGGACGGGTCTTGCTCCCCCGAACCAACACCCGTCCTCCACCGTCGCCCGAGACAGCCAGGCGCGAATTGGACCCGCCGGTGGCGGGCTCGGACGAGACGCCGCCGCTTCTCTCGTGCAGTCGAGGTTCCGCGGGTACCGCACCAGAAGGAGTCTCGTTGGCGGCGGCGGAGCAGAGGGTCTGACCGCCGGAGGAAAAGGCGGGGCGGGGGGGCAGCCGGATGGTGTCTCAGCAGGAGACGGTGGTCTTGTCGATGGTGTCGAAGGCAAGGGAAAGTGCTCCGTGCTCGACCTCGAGGTGGGCAAAGTAGTCATTGAAGAACAAAGTTGGTGGTTCATGCTCCTTTAGGTTTTCTTAGCGACAGAACAACACGGCGGTCGAGACCACAGTGCAACTTGTCCAGTTTGACACACGACTATGCAACTGACCGCTTGGTGACAGGGGTATTGAGAGATGCCTGTGCCGCTTGGCGAAGGCGGGTACCCAAGTTCGGTTCTATCACAAGGTGTAGAACGGAAGATTGGAGCTCAACCAAGAGTTCCATACATTTTTCGCGTTGCGCACCTTTCTTCAAAACCCCCACCCAAACGCCCTCGAAGAAACCGATAGTCGTTCTTTTTTCCCCCGTTCACTCGAACCATTTGAAGATAGTTCATGCGATTTCACTGCGGATTACATTCTGACGATGGGCATCGCCGCTCGCCCGTACTCCTTGCCACTGGCCAGGATTATGTCGAATCTATTTTCGGTAGGCTGGAGGGCACATGTCCCCCGCCCGATCTCCGCGCGTCCTTCGCAAAACTCGACAAGGAGTCCACCGGCTTGCTGGATCGGCCACGGTTTGCGCTAGCTCTGCGGAACCTGCGGCCGTCTCTGGAGCTGTCCCCGGAACTGTTGCGAGCAGCTATGGAGTACTTCGAAGACTCTACAGCTGTGCGCGGGGGTCGGGTTGGGGGTGGACAAACAAGCAGAATTGACTACAGGCGAGTGGTAGGATTAGGAGCGAAGGACCAAGGGGCGGGAAAGAGACAGAAATAGGTCGGGTCGAATGAAAAAGAGCGAAAGAGAGAGAGGTGGGGGGCGGGGTGTACTCATAGTCGTGCATGCCGTAGTCGTTAGACCATTGACCTCGCATCCCTACAAAGCCGGGACGGAGCACGCTGGGTTCTCACCGGACCAGGCTCTCACATCACCAAGCGCGAAGCGCCGTGACGTATTCGGCGAGTCGCATGAAGGGTGCGCTGCATCCTGCTAAGGGTGTTCGGCATCTTGTGCTTACTTCCTTGCGTACGGATGACAGCTGCGTATGACTTAATTGTTTTTCTGGTGCTTTCACATCCAGAGACAGTTGTAAGCGATGTATAACTGCCTCGAGAGTGCTTGACCAATTTAACACAACGTGGTGCGATTATGTCCTTTGAGCGGAGTGAGGGATCTCGACCCCGCACATCATAATCTACTCGACCACCATTCATGGTTACCGCAAGAAAAAAAAACAAAAATCGCAACCGAGGTTGTCGAGCTCACGAAGTGATCGGCTTGTTTTACAACATCGCTGTTAAGCGAGAACAACCCAACCCCGATAGCCAACATTGGGGGAGGGGGGGCAGAGAGAGCGGGGGGGGGGGGGGATAAGTCTAAACGAGATGATCAGAACATCAGACGGTGAGAAAATTTTCACTCCCTTGTTGGCACACATTGGCTCTCCCTCCCGCTCACTCGAAGAACGGAACCTTAATTACGCGAATAAAGCAAGCTTGTTGCTTTTCTCGCGCGTCGGTTTCTCGCAGTAGAGGTGTATATTGTGTCTGTGGCCTGTTCGCACGGAATACGCATATCTCAACTCGTCGGTGTTCAATTCCGGTACCCGTGGCAACCATTCGACCCGGAGGTCGGCGTGGACTTGCTGGTTTGTTGCTGTATTTCTTCTTGTCGCGACAAGAACTGGCCCTGTAATGCGACAGTCTGTTCTTTGTCGGCGCGCTACCAAGGTGTGGGTGTGGAACGTTTCGTCCTCGAAAGAGGTAGCGTGTTGCTTCACCGACGTTTCCGGTACTGTTGGTGTGGAAGACATGTTCCGGCTCCAAAGCATGGTTGAAGTTAATAGTTCAACTCCGATTCTTGAAACATTGCTTGGTGCCGCGATCAAGTCCCAACCCAGCACGGCTGCAACCCCATCAAAGACGAACCTTCAACAGAACAACGCTCAGTTGATCTTTTGTGCCGCGCGCAAAATCATTCGTCGCAACACAGAGCCTTCACAATCTTCTGCGAGGAGCGGCGCCACCCTGAAGTTTCTCCCGCCGTGGCTCTCCTGGGGCAAAAGCCGCTTCACCCGGGCGCCCTCGACGTCTTCGCGCGACGGGACACCCTGGGGACGGGCTTCGTGTGTAGGGTGGACCTGTTCGATGGCTTGAGAGAGCTCGGCATTGCAGGAACGCCTCCGAAGCAGGTGCGGACACAAACGAGTTGCTTTTCAGCAACCTCAGCCAGTGCCGAAGTGAAACCGACAGCCCTGAGCTACCCTCTTGTTCTCTCCCTCCCCCTTCCCCCCTCCCCAAACGAGCCGCTTGACCTCTGCTTCCCCACTCCCACTCGCCAAACGAGCCGAATTTCATCTCTATCTTCCCGTTCCCCCCTCCCCAAACAAACTACGTGCCCGGACACAAAGTTACGACAACTCGCCACCATGTTCGAGGAAGCCGAAGACATGGTAGACTACGCCTCTCTTGTGGCCTTCGCCAAGGAACAGCCCGCCGCCCGCAGAGCCGCGGCTGTCGTGTCTCGCCTCCGCAGCCACCTCCTCGCCGTCAGGAACGGAAAGGGTTTGGATTTGCGGGCCACTCTAGAAGCGTTTGCCGTTGATGATGGCGGAGGTGGTGGTCGTCGTGTGCTACGGCAACCTCAACTTGAAGATGCTCTCCGGGAGCTTGGTTTCAAGTAAGTGCGTGTCCAGACGATAGTGGGACAAAAGCACTGCTGTGATAGTGTCGTAGCTGGCGTGTCCCCAAGCCTATTAGATGTGTGTCGCGGCTGTTGACAACTTGGGTGTTGACTGAAGATTTCTCTGGCGTATTATCTTTAGCTGAAGTTTTCGCTGTTGACCAGGTCTTCGTTGACGTGCGTGGCGATTCCGATGAATCGATTGCGAGGTTCATCCCCGTAAAGTCGTGAATCATGAGAAAAAATTGCAATTATTGCATCATATTTTCCGGCCACGGGAAACTCGGCAGCATTCCCGACCTTGTCCGCGCTGGTGTACGGAGTGAAATGTTGAATTTCGGTGAGTCGGTTGCTCGAGCTGTGAATCATTCCCGGCGCCACAATTTTCGTCGTTTTGGTTGCGAATCCAACCCACAGGTGCACCGAAGACGAGAAGAGCGCTCTGTACAACCGACTAGACCTCTCGGGGGGCAACGCGGGGATAGTTTGCACCGATCTGGTGGCATTCGTCGAGGGGCCCGCGGACTACGACAACGGTGTTGTTGATACAGCAATCGGAGCGGTGACGGTTGCTTCCCGAGACGAAGAGAGAGGGGTGGGAAAGCTGCTCCGGAGGGCGCAAGCAACCATTGTGGAGGCTGCGCAGGTGCCCATCCGAATGCTTCGATCACTACCTGCGGTTGTTGCTGTTGATGTGATTTGTCTTCGGTGATTTTGTGTTTTCCCAGAAACAATGCTGGCCTCTCTGCCCGATACCTCCATACCCCGCACCCAGATCTACCCGGTGCCGACGAAATAGCCGACCTGATATGTTTCTCACCATTCTATTCCGTAGAGCCCGTAATAAACGTCGTGCCTTTCCGGCCTTCGCTGTTGTATGCCTCATCCTTTCGGCAGCGAATGGATAGCGACTTCGAGGCGTTCGACCGGCCGTACCTCTGCTACGACTGGCGGCGGACGGGACGCGTAGGGACGGCGGAGTTCGTCCGGTCCACCGTCCGGTGTGGCTTCCCTTTCACCCGTGCGCAGGTACCGCTTGATGTCTTGTGCGTGGGTTCCACTCCTTGCTGCTGTTGAAGGCGTCGCCTTTGTCGCAGTGTTCCAGCTCTCGAAGTGTGTGCAATAGCCCCACATGTCGATCCGAAACGCACTGAATCATTTTCTTCGCGTCTAGTGTAATCAACTGCAGAGCAAATACGGAACAATTTGCACCCCGGGTGTGTACAAAAAACCATGCCTCCTGAAATTCTTCACCCACGGTAGGCAACATTGTCGAAAGGAGCGTTCACGATTGGCTCTATCGAGGATTTATTGGAACTCGAACACCTCCGCAAAGCAAGTGCGAGCAACAACTTTGGTGTATTCGCAGAAAGACCAACAGGTCCATCTTGGACGGAATGGGCCGGCGCTTACAATGCAACGAACTTGTTGTTCGACCTAGCGTTCTAGCTCAGCAGAACTAATTTGCGCTATGAACAGGCAGCGTTCTTGGCGGGAGTCTTCGGAGACGGCAGCGACGTATCGTACCCGACGTTCCTCTCCTGGGCCACGCCGGGGCCGGACGGCCTCGCCGCCTCCGGAGTAGGGGGAGACCTTCGCGGCACCGGAGAATCCGCGTCCCGCCTCCAGCGACACCCAGGAGCAGCGGCACTTTCCGCCTTGGAAGGAGGCAGGAGTGCGAGCAGGAGGGGAGGGGTAAAAGATGAAGAGGAAGAGGCGGAGCTGAAGGTTCGCACCGCCCTCCAGAGGATGGGCGAGGACGGCGTCGCGAGGGCGTGGGAAGAGTTCGAGAGAATGGACCCAGGGCGAAGGCGGGGGGGGGTGCAAGAAGAGGAGCTCGTAGAGGTGGGCGTGGAAGACGATTGAGATAGAGAGAAACGTACATAGAATTTCTGCATACAGGGCGAAATCAAGGGCTAAACAAGAAAATATGAACCAAGAAACCTTGAGGTTTGTCGTCGTGAGCACTGCGATAGCCCTTCGCCCGGAAAGATTCCCAACGTTCAGCTTCGATCTGCTTCTTCTTTTTCTCAGGTACTGGCGACCCTAGGCCTGCCCGTTACGGCCACAGATGTCGCGGGTCTGATGCGTAGATTCACGACGGGAACCGACCCTCAGTCCAAGTCGTTCTTCTTGTACCCGCGCCTACTGCAAAACATCGCCACCGGAGAACACGGGGGGAACATGGGCTCAGGTAAGGAGACGATCGAGGGAGCGGGTGACGGAAGAAGCATGAGGGGCCGAGGGCGGCACAAGGGTGTGTGTGCTGTTGTCACCTCCTTTTCAATGGGGCGGTTTTAGGAAACACCCATTATTAGATGTGGGAAACTTTACTCCTACCCACAAGTTCCGATATTTGTTCAACCACTTTGTTCCACATGGCTCTCGGCATGAAGTGGTTTGCGTCGCCAAGCAGCGTTACGAAGCTTGAAGCAGCCCCCAATAATCGACTGTTACTTCCGTTTGACACCGATCAACCCTGGCGGGGTATACTAGTTTTTTTAAGCGACGTATACCTGTGTCTCATGCCGAAAAAACAGACCATGCCGATTTCGCTGCCACAGGCCGGCCGGGGGACATTCTTCGGAGCATCCGGGCCGAGCTGAGAAGGCTCGTGCGCCGCACATCAACGGCGTCAGCAGCAGCCGATCGCGGTAGGGACGGCGACGAAGGACAACCGGGGACGCTAAGAGCTTTTGAGTCATTCGACCGCGACGGGAGCGGCCGCGTCTCTCGCCGGGATTTCCGCCGCGCGCTGCGAGAGCTGGGGTTCGACCGTCTGGGGGACGAGGAAGCGGCCGAAATCTTGGACCGTTTCGACCCTCACGGGTAAGGAGAGAGAGGAAAAGGGAAAGAGAGAGAGAGACAGAGAGAGACAGAGACAGACAGAGATAGACAGAGACAGACAGAGACAGAGAGATAGATAAAAAGCAGAACAAAGGATAAAGAAACCGCCAGAGGTAGGGGTGGACTAAGAGAGAAGTGGGAATGGCATTTTCAAATCAAACGGTGTTCGTGTCATTCCGATTATCACTGAAAATGTATCCAATCGTATGCACAAACGTTTGCTAACCTTATGACACGCCTAACTGCCCGCCCGTTCCTAAAACGGACGAATTGACAGTTCCAACGCCCGATTTGCCAATAACGCGAATTGACGCTATATAGACTGCTGCGTGACATGGTAACAAAAAACGTGCTTACATGTTTCGCGCCGTGTCCCGTGACTTGTCATCAGAGACGGGAACATCCGGTACGAAGACTTCCTTCGGGAGATCGAGGAGGGCGAGGGAGACCACGTACGCCGATCACCTTCACCTCGCGGTAGGAAAGCCTTCGACGGTGGTGGTACGAGCGGAAGGGGACGGTTGCAGGCCTCCCTCAGTCGGGCGATCGACCGCGGGATTGACTACCGACGCGAGATGGAGCTCGAGGAAGAAGGGCGGTCAGCGTCGGCGGGAGGAATGGGAATGAAGGAGGGTGTGGTGTCACGGCAGAGGTAAGGAGAATCGTAAGACGCCGTGCAACACGTGATGCTGCTATAATATTCTGGAAACACGCACACCGGTTGTTGGATTATGAAGCTGGAGATGAACGTGTGCCAGTCATGTCCCACGTGGCGGCGAAAGGTACTTGGGTGCCTAATCGTTAAGAGCGTAAGCACCGACAGCCCTCGCAAGCGCACTACATGTAGCACCAATCAGACTAGATCCGGGGCATGCCTGAATCCGTCGTGCTCTGGCATCCGTCTGCCCACCCCTCCTCACCTTTCCTCCGGCACATCCGACAGCTTTCGCGCCGTCATGAAGAGAATCAAGGCCGACCTTTCCGAAGGAGATCTGGCGGACCTTGAGAAACGATTTGCGGTCAGCTCCTCGTCCTCCTCTTCCAATGACGGCGGCCTTGTCGGCACGTTCAGCGCTAGGCAAGGGAGGGTTGCGGGGAACGCGGCGGCAGGCGTGCGGTACTTGGAGCTGCTGCACTGGGGGGCACCGGGAGGCGACTCGAGAGGCGGGGACGACGAGGTGAGCCCAGGGAGTTTCGGGGGCCGAGACCCCGCCTCGTTGTGATTTTTCAAAGAATACGCGCTCAAACGGCCGAGTGCGGATGCTTGAAGTGATAGTTTCTCACCTGCTCGAACTCATTCTGGAGACCGTTGCGACCAACGAGCGCCGAATGAGTGCGACATCGAAAGATGAAGATGAAGTACCGTGTGAGTGATTTCCGAGTCACTCCACGTGATTTTTCCGTTGGGCAACAACGACAAGGAGAGTTTCCCTCCTTTCTGTATTGTTTCTCTATAGCAGACATGGGCTGCGGAAGAACGCCTCCGGCAGATGATCCGCCGGCGCTTTGACATTTGGATTCCCGGGACCCTCAAAAAGGTGGGTTGTGGACGAAAGCGCTGGTTTAACGGAAAATGACCAGTCCTACCCATCATGTACATTCTGTAATATATCGCAGATCAGCGTCATTCCGGAACCAAACCACTTGATATAACTGTGCAGAGTGAACTGCTTGGTGATGTGGGAGAAGCCGAACTTTGTGTAGTTCACTAAATGATATGTCATGTTGTGAATGACTGACAGAGGGAGTACAGATCATGGGGAACAGTCGGGATACTCTAACGGCAGCTTCCGGCTGGACACTATGTAGTGTTAGACGGCCGATTCCTCACATTTTTCGGCCACTCCTACACTCGCACGTGTCTCCCAAAGCTTCGCCCCTCTCAACCTCGGGGGACGTGTGTTTGTTCCGATACGGCAGGCGTTCCGCCACTTCGACGCCCGCCGTAAGGGCAAAGTGTCGGAGCCCGACCTGTCCGATGGTTTACGCCGCTTGGGATTGGAGCTGGCGACACGGCAAGAACGAGGGTTGTTCAGAACTATGGGTAAGAGAGAGGCGTGTCGAGTATGGATCCAGTCTCAAGAGAGTACAGCGATCCTGGTGTCGAGTGCAGCAAATATACCCGAATGCCCCCCCTTCAAGATTGAGAAGCAATCCTAATGAAATTGCTGGGGTTATCAAGGGGCACACGAGTCCGGGAAATGACAGTAGATTCAGAGCACTGAACCGATGGCCAGATCCTTAAGCCCAAACCGACTTCGAGGTTGGCGCCCCTTGCTGCTAAATCGTAGGAGGCTGATCGTTCACAAGACGCGCCAGAGCATCGAACACCCTACCCAAGCGGTATCCCCAGTGACTGTGTACAGCGCTCGCTCCATTGGGACTGGATTTTCGGGAGAGCACGCGTGTGAGCTCGGCTTTGGTCCCGCGAGGACTACGTTGCTTGAGGGCCCCAAATTCGCCCAGTTGTGCTACTTATGCGACGAAACGAATACAACTACGGTTGTTCGTGCGTTCAGACACAATTGAGGCTACAATGCTGCGGACGTCTCGTGCACAATTCGGTCGCAGATCTTGATACCCAAGGCTTCTTGGTCTACCCGGATCTAGTCGTGTTCGCTCGAGACCCCAACCACCATGACGTACGCGACAAAGTACTTGGCCGGTAAGTTGTTTACTCTGTCAGCGCTCTGCGGCGGGCCTGTGACCCGCGGCAACAACCACCCGATAGATTCGCGTGAGACGTCAATAGATGTACAAAACACTGGGATGTATTGTCGCTAACAAGCGTCCAGCGAGCTAGCACTTCTTGCTACCGTCGCGACGTTTGAGCCTCGCTGTATACTTTAAAGAGTCCGCTGATGCGCGTCGTATGAGCAGGGACAACGGTGCTCCGTGACTATCGGAAGGCATTGTCAAACACCTACCCCTCGCGTAAAATTGTCATAATCCCAATTGCTCAAGGTTGGAAAGGGTGCCGGTCGATGCAGGAACGATGCAGAGAGCAGTAGTTAAAACCACATGAAGAAAAGGGAGGGAAAACCACGCCGCCCGACGCTGCCCCTTTCTGGGTCGACTCATACAGGTTGAACAGGGTGACCGAGTCTCGAATTCGAGGCGAGCTTGAGCGCAGGGATCCTTCTGGTTCCGGGGTGATTTCGGAAAAGTCCCTACGGAACATTCTTGAAACCTTCGGCGTGGACCTCGCCGGCGCCGACTTGGGTCGCCTAATGCACCGTTTCGACGCTCACGAGGTGAAGCCAGTAACGTTGTGTGTTCTGCCGCTAGGCAGGAGTGATTTGGCTGAAACAACTCAGTACGAATGGTGAGTTTGTCATCGTCGCATTGACATTGGATATAACCATTTACTTGTTGCTGGGGTGGTCATACCCAATGTTCGGGGAGCCTCTGCGGGCACTTGATTTGGCTTGGTCAGATGTAAGCCTTTGGCGTTCCAAACAGAGCTTAACACACACGCGCTATCGCCTTCAACATCACGCGTGCCGCTGGTCCTGCACACCGACCACCGCATGAACGGACGCGGAACAATATGAGCAGGACGGCACCGCAAGCATCGAGAGGGTCGTTTCGTTCTGCCTGCTGTCCGGGAACAACGACGATCCTGCTGGTGATGACCGCAGGGATAGCAGCAGCCGGACGAAGGGGCGTGGTGGTCGCCGGGGGCGTGGCCACTCCTCCAATGGCGACAGTACCGCCGTCACAGGGGCGGGAAGGTACCACACATCACCGAGATATTCATCACCCGCCGTTAACGCCAGCTACGGCGGTTGCAACAGCAGGCGCAAAGGAGTGACTTTCCGTGACGGAAGTAACGACAGCCACCAGTCCCGTTCGAAAAATATAGCCCTTCTACGTGCAAGCCTTCGACGCCTCATGGTTTCGTCGAGGGACGACGATGTGGCGTCGCGGGGCGGGGCAGGGAATGCGATCGGCCCCGGGCTTCGGGACAAGTTGCGTCGGGCCCTACAGATCGCAGCCGATGCCCGGGGAGCAAGGAGAGGGAGCAGGCACGTCGACCGGGAGACAATCCGTCGAGCGATGGTGACGTGCGGCGCCCCATTGGAATCAAACCTGCTGGGGGATCTGGAGAGGCGCTTCGATCGGCGAGGGACAGGCGAAATCGACGTGGAGGTAGTCATGAATGAGAAAGGGGTGCAGGAGAGAGAGCGAGAGAGATGCGGACGAAGACAGACAGACAGACAGACAGACAGACGGACAGACAAGGACAGACAATACGCGAAAAGATGCAATAATGCATTGTGGAAGATGCAGTACCATTGATATCGTCGGGTGGTCATGAGGAGGTCATCCGGACGTAGGCTTGACGTTCGTGCCGTAGTAGTACAAACCGCGGACACTTGCGTTTCCCACAAGTGATTCATTAGGAAATGAGTGTACCATATGCTTGTCACTGTTGCCACCCTCCCGCTACATGACGGAACAGGATTTGTGGCATAACTCAAGATGACGGGCAGTCTTTGGCGGTGTGAGGATTGATGCGTTCACGACCACCTCCTACTGAGTGGTCTAACCCCAGGGGGGTTGAAAGAGGGATTGGGAACGCAAACAATGACACCTCTTGCCGTATATCATTTCTTCCCGATACGTGCTTGGGACCATGTACAGAACATGGTGGAGTACATGGCACGAGAGGTTGAAAATGACGTCTGGGAGCGTGTGGCCGCGGAAATGGCGCGCACGCAGCGCGGAACGTCGTCAGCGAGGGGTGGATTCATTCACGGGTTCATCTCGGACCTTGGTCGATTCGTTGACGGCCGCGAGGTGGGTTAGGTTCCGCCGTCTACCCGCGATATTGCTCTTTCGTCTTGAAGAATGAGTTATGTTGGCCTAGCTCCACGCGAGCACCTCCTCGGGTAGTTTCGCCTAATTGCCGCGGTGACGCTTTGAAGTTGGTCCGAAACGTCTGTATATAGTTGTGGATTGGGCACAGGCAACATGCTGCACGCAAGGGATATCGTGAGTTAATTCATAGGTCAAAGGAACGTGTGCTAAGGGGTAAGGATATCTTGCGATCTCTGGCCATCATGGAGTTCATGTTCGCTCGTCGCACACCCGAGGTGGTTCCAAGGCTGACGACGAATCATCCTTGGAACGCTCCATGTTCTCCTGTCCATGGGCGAGGCCCGAGTGTGTCAAACCTTTTCATGCAATAATTCCGTGAACATGTCACCTTCGAGTGTTCATACCATGCCTGATACAACAAGAACCTTTAACATCCGACGTCACACTGCCCCGAACATCCTGGTCCGCAATAATTTTTACTGTACGTCGGTCCACAGGTGGACGTCCACCCCCCTTTCCCAAAATGTCGGATGCCCTCGACCCCTTGTGGAGACCTTGACAAGGTCGAACACCTTGGATAAGACAACCAAGGCCTCGAAAAGGGAGAAATCGAGGTAATTTTTTGGCCTTGGTTGTCTTCGCCAAGGTGCTCGACCTTGTCAAGGTCTCCACAAGGGGGCGCGGGCACCCGACACTTTGGGGAAGGGGGGTCGACCTCCACCTGTGTCATTCGGAGCACGCGACACCTTCAGCCACCTCACCGATCTCCTTCTCTTTTCTGCACCCCTTTCCGGATTTCTGTAGGAGGCAATCTGGGTTCTTGGCCGATTCCCGCTTCAGATGAAGCGCTTCCCTCGATAGGTCGCCCACACTAGCTCCGTTGCTTTGCGGTTCTTTCATTTCACTACTATATTTCACTACTACTTGCTTTCAGGAGATCAGCCGCCGGGAATTGCGTAGGTCGCTCGAGCTGCAAGGTGGTGCATCCAAGCTGAGGGAGGAGGAAATCCTTGTTCTCTGCGACTCCCTCGACCTTGACCGTCGCGGAAGGGTGCATCTGTCGGACGTGCGGGGCGCACTCACCCGTGGAGCGGTGGTCGCGAGAGGCAACTCCGAGGAGGAGGTAATTGTTTCCAACACAATGATTTGAATGGAACCGTCGTTGTTCTTCTTATCGCATTGCTCCAGGCCGTGGTTGACTTATTCTGGATTGTTTGCCGCGGATTGTGACGGGCGCATGCATTCGAGTTCCCAAACTCTGAATGCCCCTCTCTTCAGTTTCGCTCCAATTGGCCCAAAGGACATCTTATTATGTAACACAGGTTCGCCTACTCGACGCCTGATGTGCTCATGACTCCATCATCCAAGTATCCCGCATGACACCCAGGATAAAGAAGTCCTTTACCCCTTGCACTCCCCCGCCTACCGTATGTCTCACGTCGCCCGCTTTCCTACGACCATTCTGCGTGATACATATGTGCATCCAAAATTGTTTTTGCCGCTTCAAAATACCTGGACTGGAAAGTCCGATAGCGACGATTCGAGCACAGATTCGGCGTCAACAGCGACAGCAGTCCTGGATGATCTTCGAGGTCTTGTCCGCGCCGCGGAGCGCGAGAGGGGTGTTGACTTGCTGGAGTCATTCGAGCACTTTGATCGTCGTGGACAGGTAAGGTTTGTGTTGCGGAATGCTGTTCTAGAATGCCCGCCGGCAGAAACACAATGAACTGTTCTGGTCGAGATAATGAGTAATCCTCAAGCCCTGCGCAAACATGCCCTGGGCCCTGGGCAACATCACCAACCGATCGAATGAATGCTGCGCCGTCACTTATTCAAATCCGGACGCCTCCATGGTGTGCTTGATCCAATATCCGACCCCACGATGCCAGCTTTGTAAGACACCCCGGCTAGTTGAAGAGGAGGAGTGTAGAATCATCAGTCGTTCTCCATACTCTCCCAGTCGCGGTGCCAGCGACTGGTATTGACCCGATTCTCGACGGTACTTTTTCGGCAGGGAGAGGTTTCCAAAGATGATTTTTGGGAAGGGTTGCAGAGTCTCGGGCTCGGACAAGACTTGTCCCGTTCGGACGTCTCACGCGTCGTGGAGTCCTTCCAGGCAAGTGCGCCTTGTGAAATGGCCATGGCATTCAATTGGTGCCAGGGAAGAGGTTGTGAGTCGTCCCTACAAGGATAGTGGAGTCGACACATCCAAGGTCGACCAAACATTCACTCCTTGCTGGCACATGGCATTCGAGCCTGGACTACACTCCAAACTAATACTCTAGGATTGTTGGTACTGGCGTTGAATGAGTCATGCCGGCAAGTGAACTATGCTTCATTCTCAACGCTGTGCGCGAGTGAACGAGAGTTAACGGTGCAGTATCAAAAATGATTCCGTCCTTGCCAACTGCATGGCCAACCAACGCAGGAAGTATTTGTCAAAGTTTCAAGCTGTTCTAAAATAGAAAACATTTGGCGGTCTCGCCTATCTCGCTTGCCAGTGTCTGCCTGGATCCAGGGTTAGTTAATTGTCTTCCCCGAACTTGTATGGACAGGGCCGGAAGTACGGATACGTCTGCTACAAAGACTTTGTCAAGGCAATGGAAGGACACCCTCCACCCCGCGGAGGTGGCGGCAGAAATGGTAGCGCAGGTGACAGGCGAAAGGGAGGAAAATCTGAGAGACGCCATCGCCGCCGTTCCAGCGCAGGCAACATCGAGCGCCTCGTCGATAGGCTGAAGGAGGTGGGTTCATACATCGCACAAGAGGTCGCTGGTGAAATATGTTGTTGCAGATGTGCGCCAAAGAGTCGGGCTACACATCACCGCCCAGACTAAAGCACTACTGTATACACCATGTATGTATCAAGAACGAAAAAGAAGTAGATTTACCACTACAACGACACGTTTTGTGTGGTGCAGATGCAAGCCAGGCATGCAACCCGCCCCGAAAGTGACTACGTGAAGCGCATGGGCTCAGGTGCGCACTCTTGGTTCATATTGATGGCCTCACCCGTTCACGTCGCACGTCGCGCGCTTCCGGGCTACTTCCGAATCCTGAAATACACTCGTTACGTTTTCACGGCAGGAAATCGGTCGGTTGACAGAGGAGGAAGACGGCCCACCACCATTTCGCCAGGTGTTTGAAGCCGCCGACCATTCAGGCCTGGGGACGCTGCCCTCCCTGGCATTCAGGCGATGCCTGTTGGACGGGCTGGGTCTTGATCTCACCGAAGCCGAATGCGAAGCCTTGCTGGAGTATTTGGTGCGTATGTTGTGCGATTGGTAAACAGGCAATCTCGCGCCGTCATCTAACCGGAATATTAGCGAGATTTGCGGCCACCCAAGCGTGGTGAAGCGCCGCCCACTTTAGTATCGCTCGGCCTTCGATAGCAAATTCGAGACCATTTTTTCAGCGCAAACTTGGGCCAGCTGAAGAAAATGGCACACCATGTTGCAATCGATCCTCGAACCCCTGACAAAAAATGAACTCAGTCATGTCCGTCCTTTCCACGTGCCCGTGCCCGTGCCCTCTCTTCATAGGATACCGAGGAAGACAACAACATATCCTACCGCGAGTTCCTGGAGTTCGTCGGCCACGAGGTGCGCGAAAGGACCCCCCCGCGCTCTCGGAGTCCCCGACACACTGCCCGTTCTAGTGCTAGCGGCACGGCCGGTGGCAGGGACGACTTCATTCGTTCACCACCGCGCAGGGGACGGAACTCGTCGCCCCCGGGTAGGAGAAGGAGAAGCAGGGCCACCCGTTGACAGATTTTGTAGGGATACTGGTGATTGACATGCGTTGCGTCTTGTACTCCTAGCAGTAGCACAGAGGCAAGAGGCTATGGGAAAGGGATGGCGTCTTGTGAGCTCCAGCCCCGACATTTCGCCCGCAGGCATGACCTTGATGTTTCGATCACAAAGGTATGTTGTCCTCTCTACTGAAGGCTACCGGGGTTGATTCACTGGGGAAAGGCAATCATGTTTGCGGTGAAGATTGAGGTGGCGTGAGCATGCGACCCTGGTTTCTCAAGTAGGCCACCTTTCGTAGGTTTCGAGCAACGTCGTTGGCGAAGAGACTTGCGTCGGTGGCCGTCCTGTGCGTGCCTTGGAGGGGTTGATTCGGGCGGAGCAAGCCACGCGTAGCAGCAGCCATTGCGGGGCCAGTTTTTACTCTTTCATGGTACGTGTACTAAAAAGCGCTGTACATAGCCCGGTTGGAACCGGCCTCCTTCGTGGGGCATCTGACGGAGGTCGATGTTTGCTTGAGTCAAGCATGCACCGTCCAGTTCTGGTGCGAGGGCTGGCGTGGGAACGTTTAGACGGCGCAATATATCGACATGACGCGCTTTGCTTGCCAGGGACAGGCGCGTTTCAGGGGGCAACAATACACGTATCACTGTTGTTTCATGACCCAAGGGTTTCACTCGCCAGGCACGGCAACCCGCGGCAAGTGCATACGCAACAAGGAACTGTTGCTTTTGCACTACCTGCACCTTACAGTACACCCGTGCCGTACAGCCACACAACCAGAGTCCCGAAAATAAAGCCACGTTGAGTGCGACACAAGCCTACCTCCCACTGCGATGCACAGCGGAATTATGTTGTGCGCATCAGGGGATAAAGGACGCCTCCTCCACCTGAATATCTGCCACCTGAAAGGGCGCACATCATGAGGCTACCCTTCGGAACAAAGGGCAAACACGGACACACACCCGCGAAGGCCCCCGCAATTGTCCAAACAAATACCAATACTTCGCCAACGATTGGTACACAGCAAGCTCGACTGCCAAAAGGCGCAGCCCTTCACGACGACACAATCGAGGGAAAATTTGAAATAACTCTAATACTCAGTATGTATCGAAACCTGTGATAAACCTAAAACCCTCGACGGACCCTTGATTCCCAATAACGCCGCCGGAAAGTCCTTCGAGACACTTCAAGATGCCCTGATCCCCATGGACAAGGGTTTATGCAGGTGCATCCGTCATTACGCTCAAAGAAAGTTCCTCAGAGACGGTCGTTGGTTCAAGGGTTTCTTGCGGAGGGAGAGAGCTACATGGACTCGATCTACCAGCACACGCGGTGCTGTCGGTCGACAGCATCAACAACAAGCTCTCGGTGAGTGTGGCCAGCGGTAACGCCATTGCATATGATGCTCTTACGGAAGCCAAACATCCCCCGAGAGAAAACAGCTTGTGGTCGGCTAAGTCAACGACCGAAAACATGAAGCTCTCGCTCAATGCTGACATAGAAGAGGTGGGGACAGCCGCCCCTTCTACAGCTCTCCGCTGCCGCCGGCCTCGCTTTCCCTGGCCTTCCGCTTCGCGGCGTCAAATTTGCGCTTCTCGGCCATAGCGGCGCGACCTTCCGCTTGATGGGCCTGTCAGAAGAACGAACAAGACCAATATACGCGAAAGCATGGTGTCTCAACCTCCGGTGGGGCATGCGCAGTGGGTGAAATCGAGGAGTCCACAGAGTGGTACCACTCACTCCCTCGCCGTGCTAGCCATTACGTACCAAAGTGGGTTTAGCACCGGGACCGCGTTCGGCAAGCCGCACGTGCAGTCCTCACCTGTTTGCCTCGCGACCTGGGGGAAGACACCGACTTCTCCCACGTGTGGTCTTTCGTGGACCCCAACCGACAGAATGGCACCTCCAACGTAGTCACGTCGCGGAAGCTAACGCCCTGTCTGCTCTCATCCCCACAGCGGCAGCCGCATACCAACACAAGGGCACACACCAACAGAGTCGGCGACACGAGCCTGGCGCCCAGAGGGAGGACGTCCTCCAGGTAGTTACGGCACCACCTCCGCGACGCGGGGAAGCTCGCTGGCGATATCAGCTTCACGGCGTCGCCTAGGCGGTACCG